ATGACTATTCTTTACATATGTCTCTTTCCCTGTCCCTCTGCCCCTCCTCCCCCCATGCACCTGCATATGCTCCCACTCTCTCAAAAACTAAAAAAATAATAAAAATAAAAGTAAGTCCTTTAAGTTCTTTTTTTTTTAATTTTTTTAACGTTTATTTATTTTTTGAGACAGAGAGAGACAGAGCATGAACAGGGGAGGGGCAGAGAGAGAGGGAGACACAGAATCTGAAACAGGCTCCAGACTCTGAGCTGTCAGCACAGAGCCCGACGCGGGGCTTGAACTCACGGACTGTGAGATCATGACCTGAGCTGAAGTCCAACGCTTAACCGACCAAGCCACCCAGGCGCCCCTAAGTTCTTTAAAACCTTTAAAGGTCAGCTGGTAATAATGTTTGTGAAGTAAATTCCTCTAATATAATTTCACAAAGGAAAATTAATTTCTGCTTTAAACAGGCTATGTTTCCACTAAAAGAATTTATACATTTTATAATATGCAAGCATGTAAAAATATTGCATTCAGGGGTTGCAAATGAAAAAAAAAAGAACTGAGCAATTTAGAGAATAATGAATGCTATTTCCAAGACTAAAACATTCAGATCTCTGCCAAACTCTTTCACTTCTACAAAAGTAAGTTTTAGTAAGACTGTGTATCTCTGTGTGTGTTTCTGTGGTGTGGTGTGTTTATGTGTATCTATTGTGTGAGAGACTGTCTTGTGTCCGTGTGTCTGTGTTTCTGTGTGCATGTCTGTCTGTGCGTGTTTATGTATCTGTGGTATCTTGGGGCCAGGATAGAGAAGGTGGGATTTTAGTGGTATAAAAGAAAGGAAGGAATCCATTTCTGTTGGAACCCATCTTCCATTGGATAAGAAAAGAATAAAATACATTTATTTTTATTACCAAAAAACCCTTGACAATAGGTGAAATAATTGAATAATTTTATGTCTGTAAGTTTTAGACATTTTAATAAAACTTTATCACAAAAGAAATCCATGTCCATTGTTGTATAAGTTTCACATAAACACATCTGGCCACCCATTGATAACCACTTTATATCCTTCCAGATATATGTATATATACATACATATTTTTGCAAAATGGGATTACTGTCAATAAACCTTTTCTTAGCAATATGACATGAAGTCAACAAATACTTGTTAATTCTATTCCTAAACCATAGCAGAGTACAGGATATATGGAAAAAATTAAGAAAATATCTGTTAAATAAATGGATGAATCCTTTATGGTTGTCTTTGGTAATATTTTTCCCGTTGGCATGTTTATATATTTATGAATTCCATAAGAAGTGAGGATTTTAGGCCTTTGTTTTTTATGTAACAAATGCTGTTTCCCCCTATTTACACTTAATTTTAATTTTCCTCTTCCAAAAGAATAGAAAGTAACATTTGAACATATAGCTTAATCTCACTGAATAAAAAAGTCACCTGATTTAAATCAAATGGGGCTTCACTGCAACTTTTAAAGAAATAAATGAAGCAAATGCAACAGATGAGAGCAAAGTGCTGACTGCTCCTCACTAGAGGTTCTGCTCTATTTAAATAAAGATATGGGAGTGATTTGTAGATAGTAGTGCAGAATATGCCAAAAAGCAGTACATTTTTGAGTCAGAATGTCTTGGTTCTTATCCCACTTGTGCCCTTCAGCAGCTGGGTGATAAGGGAAAAATCACTTAATGCCTCTAAGTATCTGTAAGCAAATGATCTCTAAGTAGTATTCCATCCCTTAAAGATTACTTCCAGAATAGATACTTATTCTTAAATATGAAACAAAATATATCTAAACCCCCAAATCAGGCTCAGTTCCTCTGCCATAAATTTGATGGTAACATGAGAATATATATATGTATATTATCCTGTTTTATTTTTGCCATAATTATTTTTAAATACCTGGGTTTTTTGAGTTATGTTTAATACTTCTTGCAGAGAAGGTTTTGTTTTGTTTTGTTTTGTTTTGTTTTGTTTTGTTTTGTTTTGTTTTTCTCTCTGTTGGCAGAGTTGGTAGAGAGTCAACTCTGTGGACTAAAAGCAAGTATTTTGTGTTCTTAATTTCTCCCTTGAGAGAATCTTGGTATCACGAAATGGAACTATTAGTACAGTTGTAAATGGAACAAGCTACTGAATGATCCTTTAAATATACTCCATTAACTTTAGTTCAGTAAAAGTAACATCATGGAGTATTTTAGTCCACTGGGTTTTGTTGTTGTTGTTGTTTTTTAAACTAGGATATTATTAAATTAGAAACCTAATTTTACTATAGGCATTATTTATCTCCATTTTATAGATGAGGAAACCCAGAGTCTAGGAGATTAACAATGTGTCCCATTTTTTAAAGTAGGAGAGCTGAGACATGAACACAGGTTAGCCTGGCTCCAATCACTCTGAAAACACCATTCTCCTAAATATATATACATCCTGTCCATTCATGGAAACGTGCCCAGCTGAACCTCAGCCTGGCAAAAATAAATGCTCAATAGTTATTGTAACCACTTTATTACAGGAGAACTCAGTGGTGTGCAAGCTGAAAGTAACAATCTCCTTTCTCCAGCTGTCCTTCAAATTTACACTGTTACAACTGTCTGTGCTCCACTTTCACTATCTTGAAACCCCAGGTAGATTTTATAGTTCTGTGCTGGCTCTCATGTAATAAATGAAGTTTTAGTACCTAGAGTCCAGTCTGGGGTAATAATCCAAACACTAATCTCATTCCATTTAAAACTTTCCTTTCCTAGTTCAGTTTTGCTGGGGGTTGGAGGGTGGGGGCGGAAAGCTCTTACTTAACTATGTGGTTGTGACCAGCTTTGGTGCCCTCGGGAACCACAAATAGTCAAAGGTGACTGTGCTATATGGAACCCTACTGGTAACCTCCTATTGCACTTCTATCTGGTTTACCATTCTGAGAAGCCCATGGGCTTCTAGCAGCCTTCCTCCCTCACACTGCCCCTTCAGGTGGAGTCTATTTTGTGGAGATGTTAGGCTGGGTCCCTCCACAGGTGCCCATATCTAATCCACAGCTTTTTCCCAAATAGCCTTCCCTTTCTTTCCTCTTGAATAGAACGTGCCCATTTCATTCCAGCTCCACTGGTTTTGCCTACTTGCCTTTCCCACCTTTCTTCCTCTCTGTCAATTGAAATGTAATTCCAGCTAATCTCAACACACACCCTTCCCCATGAAGCTTTTCCAGATTTACCTATTCCTACAATGGTTTTCCCAGTTTGAAGTCCTGAGCACTACAGTCTGTCCAAAAAAAAAAAAAAAAAAAAAAGGCAATTTTACCTAAGAATATCTTGGATGAAGCAATAAAAATGATCAATTTTATTAAATATTGACCCGTGGATATATGTCATTTTAATATTGTGTGTGAGTTAACAGGAAGTATGCGTAAAGCCCTTCTGCTGCATACTGAAATACATGATTGCCTCAAGGAAAAACTAATAGTATACTTGTCCTGACCTGTGACTTGAATTAGTGACTTTTTCCATGGAATATAATTTTCACTTGAAAGAACACCTGACAGAAACCATGGTTATATAGCATTGAGTGTTTGCCAGGGTATTTTCTAAAAAATGAAAGAAGGTTGTCATTTCAAGGAAAACAAGTGACAGTGTTTAATGCCAATGATAAATTTAGAACAAAAATTAGAATTTGGGAAAACTTACACCTGGCACCATAAGTTTGACAACTTGTGGTGGTTATGTAGCTATGTCCCAATATTCTTTGATCCAGTTCTCCTCAAGAGGCAGGGCTTAGTTTCCCAACCATTGATTGTGGGCTCAGCCATTTCTACTAAAGAGCATATGGCTGAAGTGATGAGCTGTCATATTGAGATTAGGTTATAAAATGACTATGCTTCTGTCTTAGGTGAGCTCTTTTATATTCATATTCTCTCTCTCTCTCTCTGTCTCTCATCACTCATCTAGGACAAGCTGTCAGGTTGTGAGGTAGCCCTGGGAGAAGAAAGCCAACTGCTACACCTTGAAAACACTCAAGCAGCCTATGGAAAGGTTCACTTGGCAAGGAACTGAGGCTTGCAAGCAACCATGTGAGTAAACTTGGAAGTGGATCCTCTGAAGCCTGCCAAATGGCACATGAGTCAGTTTGGAAGTAGTCTGTCTCTCAGTTTAGCCTTGGAATGACTGCAGCCCAGCCAACAGCTTGATTGCAACCTTTTGAAAGACCCTGAACTGGAACCACTCAGCTAAGTCACTCTGGATTCCTGACCCACAGAAACTGTGAAATAGTTAAAATTTATTGTTCTAAGTTGCTAAGTTTGAGTAATTTGCTATGCAATAATAGATGATACTATAGCTTCCCCAAACTTAAAGACTTTTCTGATAAGAGCAGTGGTAATATTAACAAAGAGGGTTTTTTTGGGGGGGAGAGGGGAGAATAGAGGAATACCGGGAAATTGTTGAATGATGAAACATGTCAATGGAAAGTCTACATAAATCAGAGGACCAATATTATCCAAATGATCAATGCATGATGCTACGAAATCATGCATTAATAAAAGATCCAGTCAAAGCACACAACAGACCAATAAATTTAAATGTAACAGAGTATATGATTTCTATGTTGCAACTAACCCTTAGGAAACCACCACCTATTGAATGCTGATACAGGATCAAAGAAGACTGTCCACACTTATCAGCAAAGAGTATTAACACACTCCTTCCTTATACAACTACATATCTGTCTAAGGCTGAAATTTCCTCATGTATTTCAACCAAAATAGTGTACTGTAACAGATTAAATTCAGAGGCAGATTTGAGAAGCCAGATGTTTTCCATAAAATTAGACATGTGAGAGATTTGCAAAAACATAAACAATATCACTCATCTCACTACGTGTTTTATTTTGAAAAATAGTGATTTTTCATGAAAAGATTGTTATTGTTATTTTAAAAGAAACTGTATTAGTTGTATACTGCTGTATCACAAGTCATGCCAAAATTTAGTGGCTTCACAGTATTTATTTCTTATCTCACCATTTCTGTGTGTCAGGAATCTAGGTGCAGCTTCTTTGGGTTCCTCTGGCTCAAGGTCTCTCCCAAAGTTACCTACATTCAAGGTGTCCACAGAGCTGCAGTCATCTTAAGGCCTGCCTGGGGCAGGATCAGCTGCTCAGCACACTTACATGGCTGTCAGCAGGACCCAGTTCCACACTGCTGTCAATCAGAGACATCAGTTCCTTGCTATATCGGTCTTTCCACAGGAAAGTCACAACATGGCAGCTGGCTTCCCTCAAAGAGAGAGAGAGACAGAGGAGCCACAGTCTCTCTGTAACCGAATCTTGAAAGTGGCATCCCATCATTTTGGCCGTGTCCTTCAAAAAAAAAATAAAATAAAAATATGAATTAATCCAGCACATGCTCAAGGGGAGGGGATTACACAAGGGCATGAATACCACCAGGTAAGAATCACTGGGGGCCATCATAAAGACTGCCTACCATATGAATTAACAAGTATTTTCTAAATATCTCAGCATTAATTTCTAATAAGCTATTAATAGATACAAATCACATAAACAAAAATTTGGGGGGGTTCTCAATAATTTGTAAGAGTGCAAACAGCTTTTGAGACCAAAAAGTTGAGAATTGCTATTCTAGTAATACAAACATTGGCTTTCCACATGGTAAAGATGCAGGGCATTTTTTCAAGAGCTGATAATTCATGTCTTACTTTTATTATTATTCATAACTATAAACTCTTTTCCCCAAAATGATAGTATTTATAATAGCATTATAAGATACACAAGTACATAGTGAAATACAGTAATCTTTGCCAGAAGTACATATACAGTGGGTATAGTATCAAGACTTATAAGTACTATATATACCATATATTTATCACATATCTGAGGATACTGCATGAAAAATTTTTAATAATATTTATTCAATATACTAAGTGCTTACATTGATGCCACCAATAATTGGTGATTTTATTATTATTTTGTTCAGCAAATATTTGGAAAACTCTGGACAAAGAATAGTATTAGAGTTAGAGATTTATAAAGTTTCTAACAAATAATTTAAGGCAATATTCAGATGTGATTTCCATGAAACAGAATTTAATGGTAAAATGAATGAAGGGCAAGACTTTGGGGTGTGGAGAAAGGAGAGGAAGGAGGAAGAGAAGACATAGAGAATAGCCAGAAATAAAACACAAACTTATCTTACGAAAGAAAAAGAAGGTTATGTTAAGAAGTATGGGATATCTGGGGCGCCTGGGTGGCTCAGTCGGTTAAGCGTCCGACTTCAGCCAGGTCACGATCTCGCGGTCCGTGAGTTCGAGCCCCGCGTCGGGCTCTGGGCTGATGGCTCAGAGCCTGGAGCTTGTTTCCGATTCTGTGTCTCCCTCTCTCTCTGCCCCTCCCCCGTTCATGCTCTGTCTCTCTCTGTCCCAAAAATAAATAAACGTTGAAAAAAAAAAAAAGTATGGGATATCGCTAGCATCAGATACTTATAAAACTCAAAAAGAATGAAGACTGAAAAAGTTTTAGATTTGGTGATAGGACTTTAACACACACACACACACACACACACACACACACACACACACA